TTATAGTTAGCAACAGGGCAGCGAGTCGGGTTGTCAAGGGTAGCCCAGGCACGGGGAGGGACGGCCCTTACTTTTTTCGGATAAGAACCGGGTCTTGTTTTGGTTTGTCTTTCATTTAATTGAATAAACTCATTACCGTCGCTATCACGACATAACTTGACGTCTCCCCACTTCATATCCCTATGTTCTGTCACACCCCTCATTCCAAAATGTACAGTATTCTGTAGCCATACGGTTCTCAGCAAGGTTTCCGGATTTTTTGAACCAAGTTGACCGGTTGCGTAGAATTTATCTAAACCGGTGTCTGAAATAGCTTCTGCTTTTTTGGTTGATTTCCTTTCCCCTCCCTTTTCAGCTTTTTTTGTTTACAGCGAATTACATCCATGACTTTGGCAAATTCGGTGCTAGTTGCAATTTGTTTTCCATAATCTTTTGCTTCAAGATATCTGCCAATACTACACTGGATGCCTCGAATGGAGGATGGCTCGTATTCCTCCCCCCTTTTGGTTACGGACATTCATAAAGTAGACGCAAAGCAATTTGTTCAAGTGGGGAGGGGAAATGGACTCTATGGGGCGTATTTCCCTCAGTTTGGTTTGAAAGTACTTATGGACTATATTGACGTCATTGTTGGTTTTCTTTCTAGTGTTTTTGTTCACCTCGTTATTTATGAAACCATCAATATCAAAATCGGCCAGGGAGTCATCAGACGTTTCTGCATTTTCACATTCTATGAGTGGGGAATTATGGAGTTGGTCGCGATCAAATGAAGCTGGTTCATTGTTATGAGCATTTATACATGATCATGACGGTACAGGCGCAGGTGATTCTGACCTAACGGGGGTTTCACGGACGTCTCGCCCGGGACAAGACGGTATGACGTCAAATCTGTATCGCGGTTCTGTTAATATCTGACCAGAGGTCAACTCAACTTGATACCTATCAAAACCTATTTTTTCATCTCGTTTGGAGATAGCCCTTACGGTACCCCTTTGCCCATCGACCAGTCTGATTCTGTCGCCAACGTTTACCACCGTGAGCCCGTCTTCATCCAAATCGGCCATTGCTGTCAAATGCAAGCAGACGATGTAAACAAACTGCACGTGTTATTGAACCACGTGATTAAAAAGTAGTCCCGGTCAAAGTTCACCGTGTCAGCCAATCAAAACGCGTTTAGAGTTTATTCCACGTGCATGTGGTGTAAACAATATGTTATACAACAGTTGTAATGATTAATTGATGCCTTGGGAGTTGAATAACACCCACCTATTGTGGTAGAAATGTATTTACACCACAAACAGACATGTATTTACCCCACAGACAGACAGCCGGGTATTCATATTAGTACTAATTTAAATCTTGTATGTAAAAACAAACAAAAAATCGTTTAATTCACCGATATACTTAAATCATACCATTTTACTGAACCCGGTAATATTATAAATTATGTAAATCTAAAAGCGCGCGTATCTCATTTGATCCCTTGGAGGGCCTCATGACAAAATCAAACTAACCAGTCACTTATCCCTTCCTTTCGAATAAACCACTGTATAATTATAGAAGCACAAAGTAAACTCTCTCCGATACATGCTCATTGCCATATTAAACTAAATTCATCTGTGTTCAAACTCAGACAAAGATACTAGCGAGGTTAATAATTTTAGATATTTATTCATAACATAAACAGCGCTAGCATTTCTGTCGATTCCATTTCAGCTTAACCGGCTATCCGGAAGAATACATGCACCGTACTAACTGCTAGGGCAGTTATTTTCTCGTTTGAATACTTCCCACCTGTAATAATGATTCCGTAACGTACCCCTTGCGCTATCTTTTGACCATTTGGAAGGTGATATGAGGGTAACGAAGGGAGTATGTGAGACCGGGTAAGGGAGGTTTGTGAGGGTTCGAGGAGTTAGGAAGGGGATGGTATCAAATTAGGTAGGTGATGATGGAGAATGGTAAAGGGGTGCTGCTGTTGAAGTTTTAGATGTGTCTTTGGGATGGGTGTTCGTGGGGATGTCGGAATGATGGGAGAGCTAGGTTGGAGATTCGGGTCGACTGAGGTAACATGGTGTTAACGTAAGCATTGTAGACTGTATACTGTACGAGAAAATAGGTAAGGTTGATGCTACTCCTGTCAACACGTTTGATATCGAAAAATAAATAATAACAAATTAAACCGTTGTTTTTATATTAACCAGGAAGTAGGAACCCCACGACAACCGTTAGCTAGTACGCTGAACATTGGTCCATTTTATCATGGAATCAATGACTCATTAAATTTTTTTTTTTATAACTCTTAAGGACATTTTTTAAAATGGCGATCATTTTGAACAGTGTCTGAAAAATTTGAAATTTCAACGATGATGATGCAATGCTGTATGTAAACTGTATCCTATGTTGTACGTGTATACAGACAAACATACTCGTTGTACGTGTATAATGACAAACATACTCGTTGTACGTGTATAAAGACAAACATACTCGTTGTACGTGTATAAAGACAAACATACTCGTTGTCGTGTATAAAAACAAACATACTCATTGTACGTGTATAATGACAAACATACTCGTTGTACGTGTATAAAGACAAACATACTCGTTGTACGTGTATAAAGACAAACATACTCGTTGTACGTTTATAAAAACAAACATACTCGTTGTACGTGTATAAAGACAAACATACTCGTTGTACGTGTATAAAGACAAACATACTCGTTGTACGTGTATAAAGACAAACATACTCGTTGTACGTGTATAAAGACAAACATACTCGTTGTACGTGTATAAAGACAAACATACTCGTTGTACGTGTATAAAGACAAACATACTCGTTGTACGTGTATAAAGACAAACATACTCGTTGTACGTGTATAAAGACAAACATACTCGTTGTACGTGTATAAAGACAAACATACTCGTTGTACGTGTATAAAGACAAACATACTCGTTGTACGTGTATAAAGACAAACATACTCGTTGTACGTGTATAAAGACAAACATACTCGTTGTACGTGTATAAAGACAAACATACTCGTTGTACGTGTATAAAGACAAACATACTCGTTGTACGTGTATAAAGACAAACATACTCGTTGTACGTGTATAAAGACAAACATACTCGTTGTACGTGTATAAAGACAAACATACTCGTTGTACGTGTATAAAGACAAACATACTCGTTGTACGTGTATAAAGACAAACATACTCGTTGTACGTGTATAAAGACAAACATACTCGTTGTACGTGTATAAAGACAAACATACTCGTTGTACGTGTATAAAGACAAACATACTCGTTGTACGTGTATAAAGACAAACATACTCGTTGTACGTGTATAAAGACAAACATACTCGTTGTACGTGTATAAAGACAAACATACTCGTTGTACGTGTATAAAGACAAACATACTCGTTGTACGTGTATAAAGACAAACATACTCGTTGTACGTGTATAAAGACAAACATACTCGTTGTACGTGTATAAAGACAAACATACTCGTTGTACGTGTATAAAGACAAACATACTCGTTGTACGTGTATAAAGACAAACATACTCGTTGTACGTGTATAAAGACAAACATACTCGTTGTACGTGTATAAAGACAAACATACTCGTTGTACGTGTATAAAGACAAACATACTCGTTGTACGTGTATAAAGACAAACATACTCGTTGTACGTGTATAAAGACAAACATACTCGTTGTACGTGTATAAAGACAAACATACTCGTTGTACGTGTATAAAGACAAACATACTCGTTGTACGTGTATAAAGACAAACATACTCGTTGTACGTGTATAAAGACAAACATACTCGTTGTACGTGTATAAAGACAAACATACTCGTTGTACGTGTATAAAGACAAACATACTCGTTGTACGTGTATAAAGACAAACATACTCGTTGTACGTGTATAAAGACAAACATACTCGTTGTACGTGTATAAAGACAAACATACTCGTTGTACGTGTATAAAGACAAACATACTCGTTGTACGTGTATAAAGACAAACATACTCGTTGTACGTGTATAAAGACAAACATACTCGTTGTACGTGTATAAAGACAAACATACTCGTTGTACGTGTATAAAGACAAACATACTCGTTGTACGTGTATAAAGACAAACATACTCGTTGTACGTGTATAAAGACAAACATACTCGTTGTACGTGTATAAAGACAAACATACTCGTTGTACGTGTATAAAGACAAACATACTCGTTGTACGTGTATAAAGACAAACATACTCGTTGTACGTGTATAAAGACAAACATACTCGTTGTACGTGTATAAAGACAAACATACTCGTTGTACGTGTATAAAGACAAACATACTCGTTGTACGTGTATAAAGACAAACATACTCGTTGTACGTGTATAAAGACAAACATACTCGTTGTACGTGTATAAAGACAAACATACTCGTTGTACGTGTATAAAGACAAACATACTCGTTGTACGTGTATAAATACAAACATACTCGTTGTACGTGTATAAATACAAACATACTCGTTGTACGTGTATAAAGACAAACATACTCGTTGTAAGTTTCATACCTGAAAATAAAACCTGCATGTCCTGCGTTTCAAAGGTCAACTTAAGAAAATATCAAGAAAGATATATAAAATCATATTTCAGGACACCTTAAAATAAATTTAAAATTAAATCGTTTGACGTACAAAAAGAATTTGTATCATTATATTTAGCCAGTGACATTTGATGCACACTCGATCACCCAGACGCTACATAATTCTCATTTATTATTTACTGATCGTTGACCTACCCTGTCAAAACCACAAACATTTACACCCAAGCCTACGGAAGTAGTGTGGTTCAGCCAGCGAGATTGAACAGGTATGCGCTGTGTTATAAGGTTTAAAAGACACACCTGCTGTATGTGTCATGTTACTAAAAATAGCCACGGGAAAATCCAAACCACAGACCGCTAACTGTAGCGATTGCTCTAGCCTACTTTCGGTATATGACGCTCGTTGTTAATGGGTTTCCCCACCAATCGTTTACAGCTCAGCCCAGACTGCTCAGCTAGCTGGGTTTCCCATTACTAATCCCTGTAAACAACCAGACCACTGCCCCGAAGTTACTGACCAGGAAGAATGTGTTGAAGATATCGCTAATATTTTAAGAATATTTCTAAATCGAGAGATGGCTGCAGGGGAATCATCTTCGGAACGAATGGTGGATGAAGAAAGCCATGCCGTCCAAACAAAACGCCCCCAATGTGCGAAACCCCGGACGCTGGCCCTGTTTTTCGTCGTTTCTATTCTTTTAAATTTTTTGTTGGTGTCTATTATGTTGGGACTTTTACTTGCTGGAAAATTGGCTAAAGAACCAGGAACGAGCGATGAACAAGAAGCAAAAACAACTATAAAACCAGCTGTAAAGGGGGCCACGCTCGACCTAAAAAGTGATATGGACCAAGTGTGTATACAATGTGACCCCGGGGAGGGGGTGAAGCTTAACCTCGTTACACTGTATCCTATCAACAACGGTACCCAGCCGCTCTGCTGTACAGAATATACTCAACCTGGACTGACTGATTGGGGGGTAAGTAATAAAACTGACAGTGCTAGGATTGTATGTGTATATGCCTAAAGTATTGTCAGCTTTTAAAGTTTTAAAACACGTCATCAAAAGTGTGTTATTTGTTGCTTAAAATACACATAACTTTATAAAGATTTAGATGTGTTGGTACGCTATATCGTATACAGTCGTTTACAATGCTCCTGATATACCCTCCCCCTATTAAACTCATGGCATACATCTTTTGGCTATCAATTTTGTTTCCTTGAAAGCGATGCACCATACACCACACACCGTAGAAACCATTTTGACAGACAGGCTTGGATCGCCTGCTTTTGACTACACATGTGGTTGTGCATGTACGTGTTGGCCTCGTTTATTTGGTGCTCGACTTTTGGATTGTGTAAATCACTTCTAAATCGACCACAAAAGGGTAATGGCCATAAAGCGCTCTAGCCGGATCTTCAAGTCCCCAGGACCTGATAGTATAGTGTTACGGTATATGTTTGGACCTAAACGGACGTGTTCAGACGTATTATGTGTTTATATAAACTTTTGATAAAAATACCCCCCTCTCCCCCAACAATGATGATATAAACTAGCACTAAAACGCCTAATATTACTCTAAGCACACCAGTTTAGGCATAGTTAAACTGCAACACATTAGCATGTCCCTGTGCTACAGTTCGTGTCTCAAATCGATATTAATAGCATTTGAAGTTAGCGAAAATCTATCTGTTTAATTTACTATGATTGTTGTTTAATTATTTGAATTATACGAAATGTTAGGATGTTAATTATTGTAATCAATACATAATCAATATTTTCATTCTTGGTGGACAGACGATCCCATATCATTTGTGGGTTATGGTTGGACGCGTACTGTGTGATATATATACTAAAGCTCGTGTTTGACAACAAATGTCATGTGGTTATCTGTACCATGTAACCTAGAAGGAGGTACGTAAGGACCTTAAAATAACTATGACCAATACTCCAGTCGTACACGCACGACTTACCGCGATATCGTTTACCTGTCTCTGATGTTATCTTACCTGTGTATGTTTACACCCCAATGCGTGGCTCGATATGTACTGTTTAATTAGTAAGGCCCAAATAAGGAATCAAAATATGTATCACGATAATTATAATCTAAAATTCGTTTGAGGTATTCCACATTTATGCACCCTATCTGTATATATAGAAGTACGTGTAATCATGCTTGGCCTTCCATGCTTTAAGTCATCACTTTTGATTATAATTTTGAGCGCTTGCCCAGGTGAGGAAGGCAGTGGGGTCTGTCCCAATGCCGGGACATACCAGAGTCCATAAAATGGTAGTTGTTATTTCCTGCTTAGTGTTCAGCATTTGGGGAAATGGCAACAACTGGTTCACCCTTTGTCAGTACAATGTGACCGTGCAGAATGCTGTGCTTTGTGCCTTCAGCATGGTGATTGAGTGATGAGACAACACTATACAGTCGGGATTAGATCCGCTCTTCAGAAGGAGACAAATTCATCAATAGACTGCCCCCAGCACAAATACACAACACACATGATGGCACGTCATTAAGTGACCTAGCAGTTGGTAGGACGGTGAACCCTTTACAACCAAGCAACCAACCAACAACCTTGCTTTAAGGACTATTTTACGCTTTGTTGCTATAATATGACCGGATAGAAATTTGCTAGTTGTCTTCGGCATGGTATTTCATTGACGTAACACTCTTAAATTGGCATCAGATCTGCGCTATTACAAGGAGGTAAATACAACAGCATCACCTGTCTCCAGGACACGCATTCATCACAGGCACTCCAGAATTTGTTACAGCTATATTTGGACCTAAACAAATGTGATCCGTGTAACTTTACACGTTTTAGGGGTTAAGATCACCTTTCGGTAAACATACCACCGCCAATGATGATATATACGAGGCGTATATTACACACATAGAGGCACGTCTTAAATGACATTTCTTGTTTATAGGTCGCCAAGCTCCATAAATCAAACCAATACTTTGGGAAAGTCGAAGAAACCCCAATAAATCCACTGCCTTTACACGATTTGGCTTCTCCCTTTGCTGTGCCCCTCAAGACACATTTAGTTAACCCTTTGAAGAAACTCGGACATGGAAAAGTAAAACGCTAAAGTGTTCAAGTAAGGATATTAACAAATCGTTACAGGATGACACTGAAAGCTGCCCCCTTGAGTTGCCTCATTATCGAACCGTTGACACCGTATTAAAAGACCTTACAACATACATGTATCTGTTTCTGTTAAGTCTCTTCATTTTTTTCAAATTATTTACAAAATAAGATTTATTAGTAGTTTACAACTGGAACAAGAAATAAGGCTTGGACACAAAACCCATGCTCGAGAAAAACAACGGTTTCATGATAACGGAGTTCTGCTCCAGACGCTAGGATGGTAAGTTTTTGGAATGACCCTACTTTACGTCAAATAAAGCTGGTGTCAAAACAGTATCGATGGTGTCCGAAGAAAGTTCTTCGGAAAATTGGGGGGTTGAACATAAAATAACACTCCTCCTCGCACATGAAAATGCTTTGTGTTTGAAAAAATACTTGTAGGGAACACACATCTTACGATTTGTACTAAACATGTGATTTCTAAAGCTTGATTGAGACAGTGTTTGTCAGCCTCCTCTCGCCGCATTTTTTAGACTATCGTACGGCGGTTATTACTTCTACATTTTAAGAATTGATAAACATCTCTACATAACCTTACGAAAATCAACCGTAAAATGATACAATTGCAAAGTTAGGATTGTTCAAGAAATATCGACATTAAGTACCTGTGGCGACGAAATTTCAGTTTAAGTTGAAATCAATGTGTTTAATATACCTAGAAGGTAGATATTGTAAACAGTGCCACTCCCCCTCTGAAGCAGAGGACGTAGATATTGTAAACAGTGTAACTCCCCTCTGAAGCAGAGGACGTAGATATTGTAAACAGTGTAACTCCCCCTCTGAAGTAAAGGACGTAGATATTGTAAACAGTGTAACTCCCCTCTGAAGTAGAGGACGTAGATATTGTAAACAGTGTAACTCCCCCTCTGAAGTAAAGGACGTAGATATTGTAAACAGTGTAACTCCCC